GTAATTGTAAGGAAGAATTAGCAGAGAATAAGAGTCCTTGACCTGGAGAATTTTTGATGTATTGCAGCAGATGATGAACAGCAGTTAAATGAGGTTTCCTAGGCTGAGATACAAATTGACTAAGCTTGTGCACAGCAAAAGTAATATCCGGCCTTGAAATGGTAAGGTAAAGGAGCCTCCCAATGAGCCTGCGATATGAAGTACTATCCTCCAATAACTCCCCCTCAAAGGAGCTCAGTCGAACTTTGGGATCCATAGGCAAAGGCGCAGGCTTAGAAGCAAGAAACCCAGTGTCCTCGAGCAGCTGAAGAGCATAATGCCGTTGAGACAGAACAATGCCCTGATGAGACCTGGCAATCTCCAATCCAAGAAAATATTTGAGTTTACCCAAATCCTTCAGTTTAAATTGTTTGTGTAAGAAAGATTTCAAATCATTGATAAGCACCAAATTCGAGCCAGTGATGACGATGTCATCAACATAAACAAGCAAAGCAATAAAATCAGCTCCAGAACCTTTGACAAATAACGAGTAATCTGACTTTGATTGGCTAAAACCATGAAGTAAAAGAGTAGTGGAAAATTTCGAGAACCATTGTCTCGAAGCCTGCTTCAATCCATAAATCGACTTTCGTAACTTGCAAACCAAACGCTCCCCCTGTTGGTGGGAAAAATTAGAAGGTAGATAGCCCAATGGTAGATCCATGTAAATTTCTTCAAACAAATCACCATGAAGAAATGCGTTATTAACGTCTAACTGAACTATATGCCACTGATTGATAGCTGCAACAGCCAATAATAGTTTCACAGTAACCAATTTGGCAACAGGGGAATAAGTTTCCAAAAAATCAAGGCCCTCCTGTTGGGTATACCCCTTTGCTACTAACCGGGCTTTGTACCGGTCAACAGAACCATCAGACTTATATTTAATCTTATATACCCATTTGCAGCCAATCGAATGCTTGCCCTTAGGTAGATGAACGACAGTCCAAGTATTGTTCTGTTCCATAGCAGCCAATTCAGAGGCCATAGCATCCTTCCAATGATTGTGAAGCATTGCCTGATTATAATGTTGAGGTTCGAAATTGGAGGAGACATTGAGAAGAAAATGAGTATGAGAATCAGAAAATTTATCATAAGTAATGTAATCACTTATGGGATAAGGAAGTGAAGAGTCATCAGGCTGAGAAATGTTATGGGATAAGAGGTTACAATGGAAATCTTGTAAATAAGAAGGAGGTTTATTCTGTCGAAGAGACCTCCTGAGTGTTAGGCTGGTAGGAATATCAGTAGGAGAAGTAGTATCAACAGGAGATGAAGGGCTATGGTGAATGGGAGGGGATAGATCAGGAAAATGATCTGATGTAGTAGAAGGACTGGAACTTTGAGGAAGATTGTTAATGGCTTGAAGATCTGATGATATATCAGAGGCTGGTTTTGGAAGAACAATGTGAGGAAAATGATCAACAAAATCAGATGTTTTAGAAATAGAATGAAAAGGGAAAATATCTTCATGGAAGATGACATCTCGAGAGATGAAAATGGATTTAGACACTATATCATACAAGCGATACCCTTTAATGCCAGGGTGATATCCAATGAAGACACAGGCCTTAGCCCGTGGATGAAATTTTAGGCGATGAGAAGCAAGAGTTGAGGCGAAACAAAGGGTCCCAAACACCCTAAGAAATTTATAATCGACAGGGGAATTGTAAAGCAAAGTGAACGGAGTTTTATTTCGCAAAATTGGAGAAGGAATTCGATTGATTAAGAAAGTAGCAGTAAGAATGCAATCACCCCAAAAAGGTATAGGGACCTGTGCTTGAAAGAACAATGCTCTAGCAACATTAAGAAGATGCTGATGTTTCCGTTCAACAACTGAATTTTGCTCAGGACAACCAACACAAGAAAACTGATGAAGTACACCCTTTGAATCAAAAAATTCTTTGAAATGCAACTCAGGAGCATTGTCAGATCTGAAAACCTTAATGACTTTGTTGAATTGTGTCTCAATAAGGCTAAAAAACTTTGGAATGATAGTATGAACATCAGATTTGTTCCTCATTAGATAAACCCATGTAAACCTCGTGCAATCATCAACTAGGGTAAGAAAAAATCTGTAACCAGCACGTGTTGGGGAGCTATATGGACCCCAAGTATCACAGTGAATAAGGTCAAAAGGATTCGAAGACAGATGATTGTTTGATATAAAAGATAATCGTCGTTGCTTAGCCAATGGACAAATGTAACATATTGAACTACATTGATCTTTCTTAAAATGAAGCTGATCTCTCAAAACTTCCAGTCTTCGAAAAGATAGATGACCAAGACGATTGTGCCAAACATGTTGAGGCACATTATTCATAACAGAAAAAACAGGATTACAGACACCTTCAGAAAAACTACATTCATCAGCCATGCCATTGCTTACTACATTAATTGCATCAAGTATATAAAGACCACCAACTCTCTTAGCTCTGCCAATCATCTTCGAGCTGCAAGTTTCCTGAAGCTGACAGTAATCAGTGAAAAAACTAACTTTGATGTTGGCACTCCGCNACATATAATACATCTTGAAGGATCAATTCTCCAGTTAACTTTACTGATCCAATCAGTCCCACTGGTATTCTGACGTGATTAGGTAATGTGATAAAAACATTACTCACAGACTTCAACGTTTGAAAAGATCCATAGTTGGAACAAACATGACTGGTGGCCCCTGAATCTAATACCCATTGTGTAGGAGAACTGATAACTTGATTAATGGAAATAGTGAGACAAGTACCTGACTCATGTCCAGAAGTATTCCCCTCATCCTGTGTTTTAGCATCTGAGAGATGTGTGCTCAGTAAATTCATCAAATGTTGATATTGATCAGGATTCAATTTTTGCACAAAGCTTCCAACGTTTCCAACAGCTTTATCTGGAACAGAATTAGAAACTTGATTAGCAATGGCATTATTAGAATGAACGTTATAACCTGTCTGATTGCTTTCACTGGATTCAATCTGATTAGCTAAGTGTGGTTTCGGCTTTGATTTGAATCCTGGTG